GAATGCTGTCCATATCGTTGGGGTTCTATTTTTAAATGTTGCTGTTGTTGCTTCTCTAGACATATTTGTCTCAAAGACTGATGTGCTCCATTCTCCTTCTGCATGTATCGCCTCCTTTATTCTCTGTTGCGTGCTTTAATCATAGAGCAGCACTGCATCTTTATCAGCCATGGTGAATACAATCAAGCCCTGGTTGCAGATTCTGATTAGGAGGTTTATGTTAACTGTGGTTAGCAGCAATGGAGGCATTTATGTTTGCCTGCTTGTTTAACACATTTATATCCCTGCCCTTTAGCCAAAAGGGCTCTCTTGAGTGGCTTACAAAGCGTAGTATTAAGACATTCCTTGCCCTCAGGATCACAATCTAAAAAGACATGACCACACAAGGAAAAAGGATTAGGAAAAGCATAGCACTATGCCATGGTTAAGCAAACCTGGAAAGGTTTATCAGGTGTCTTGTCTCTGGGAGGCTCGAAAAGTGTTGCCCAGGCTGCCTTTGTTACAGCTGTGGATGCCCATCCACCTTCTGAGCCTGCAGAAACAGAGAGGGCAGAAGGAACTCACTTCACCACCAACTATTCTCAGCTACCTCCTCCATGTCCATGTTTCCTCTGGTGTCCAGCAGAACGGGTCTCATGTGGTGGTCTGCTCAGCTGCACCCTTGGCTCAGTCCCTTGCTGTTGAGGGGAAGCTTTCGGCCAACTCTGCTTCTGGGTAGCAAGCTGACTCTTGGTCTTGTTTGCTTCACCACAAGGCTCTTGTGGCTTTACCCTTGCACCACAACAGAATCTGTCCTAAGTTTGCATCTTCCTCTAGCTCTTCCCACCCTTCCCTTTCCTTGTCTCTGTCCTCTCTTCTGCTGCAGTCTAATGAAGCTGCATATACATTCTACCAGCCTCTCATGTTGCCTTATCCTTGGAAGCTCCACAACCCTTATGCTCCCCAAAAGCTTATTTGCATGAAAGAGGAGGAAAGGGAGGGGAGCAGGGATATTATGAAGGGGAAGCCCAAGGGGCCCCATGCTCCATATATATGGTTTTTGCTTGGCCAAACTCTCCTGTCCCTTCTCCCTTTTTTATTTATTTTTTAATTAACTTTGCATACATGATTGCTGGGCATGCTACAAAGTGCAGTTGCTGGGGAGATCGCAACCACCCATCATTCTAATTGACTCAGACGTCTCAAATTCCATCTAAACATATAAATTACCATGTGAAAATTCATGCAAATTTTTGAGATGGACCTATGCTGAGTCTTCTTTTAGTTTTCAAAATGTTATTTTGAAGGTAAAATAAGAATCTGGTAAGAAATAGGAACTAAAATAAAGAAAACTGTACCCAAAAAAGGGGTTATGCACTGAGTCTTTTAAGTACCCAGCAATACCTGCAGGTGATGGGGTGAGGAGAGTGGAAGGCATGTTCTCAAAACGTTGCAAATGTCACCTTGAGTTTCTCAGAGGAACAGTGAGATATAAATGTAGCCAGTCAGTCAGTCTCATAAGCACTGATCAGAGTATGGGAACACTGTGTCTGCTATCTGGCCTTTGAAATGAACTATCCAGTCAAAATTTAACGTAGTGTTCTTGTTTTAAAAAAACAAAAACTCAGAGGGAAGTGAACATCATGTTCAATCACAGAGGCGATCACAGGCAGTCTTTCTTTTTCTTTTTTTCCTCCTAGGTTTGTGGCTTTAAGCTTCCTCTGAAGCACAAAGCCACAAGATCCAGAGTTGTGTGAAAGAGAGCTGGGCTAGAGGCAGGAAGCAGGCAGAAGCCAGAAAGTGAGGACCATGCTTAATTTCTGCTTGAATCTATTGGGGAAGCCTCTGGGGTGTTAATGCTGTGAACTCTTCCATTGTAGGCTCAGGTTGTCTATATGTGTAAATGAACCATGTATGATAAAGACACTACAGTCACCACTGCCCCACATTCCAAGGAAACTGAATCTTGGTTAAGCACCTGGGACCCCTGGAATCTCATACCTCTTGGGGATTGGAGTGGCATGCAACAATATCAACAATTTTGTCCCTCTATATCTATGTAATTTCTTGCTCTGTTAGAGATAAGAGGGTGGTTAATATTTTGTTTGCATATGTACAAGTTAAGGCTTAATAGAGCGAGCCATGCCACTAGTCATCTATTCACACTTAACAACAGAGTGCAAATTGTGGGTTGGGTCTCTCTGGACAGGCGAGTTAAGTAGGGAGTCCTTTTTAAAACCACCTTACCAGTCTTCCCCCACCTGGCACCCCCAGATGTTGTTTGACTACAACTCCCATCATCCTTGGCCATTGGCTATGCTGGCTGAGGCTGATGGGAATTATAGTCCTCCAACATCTCAAAGACACCATGTTGAGGAAGGCAGCCTTTACCAGTTATCTTTTGTGTTTCCTGCTTTTCTACTTTTCATGTCCCTCCATCTTACGGACATAGAGCTTCTCTTAATTTAATTTAAACTTCTGCAGGTTCATGAAACCAAGCATTTAAAGCAATGATGGGCAAAAACCTCTTGATGTGATTCAAAAATAGATAATAATTATGTGCATTTTTGGTGAGCTTTCTTTAAAAGAAAGCCAGTTTCTTTCCAACTGTCTTAAATATATTCATAATTCATCATGCTGCATAAAACTGGTTTAAAATCTAGTCCAAACCTCAGACAGCAATTTCTGCTTGCACAGAGTGAAGGGGGGGAGGGATGCCCAAATGGGATTTAATGGCCCCAGGTGTCAGGGACCAAACCCAGCAGCACAACCCTGTTCATTAAGCTTTAGGCAAACGTGACAGTGCAGCCAAAGAGGCCTAAGGCTTTTTTAAAAACAGGTTTTAATAGCTTTCTACCTAGCTAGTGAAGCATTTGAGGTCTGTGACCACCTCAAAATATGTTTTGAGTCAACACAAATCATACACCCAAGCAAATGGCATAATGTCCTCTACGAGATGGCATTAGATCCCACCCAGCCCAGAGCTTCCTGCAGGTTCATGGCACTGGAATTAAGGAACACAGCTAAGTCTACTAATTTCAGTGGGTTTACTCTGAGTAGAACTTATTTGAATACCACCCCATTTCTATAAATGCAATGTATAACATGCACAAGCGTTCTATATCACAGGCTTCCTCAACCATGGCCCTCCAGATGTTTTGAGACTACTGTTCCCATCATCCCTGACCACTGGTCCTGTTAGCTAGGGATCTTGGGAGTTGTAGGCCAAAAACATCTGGAGGGTCGAGGTTGAGGAAGCCTGCTATATAACATGCACAAACCATGTATTTTCTCAGGTTCTGCTCAGTTCAATGGGGCTCTCTCCAAATTAGCTAAGTATATCAGCTGCACAGTTTCATGTACTTGGTGTACTTGCCCTGCAGGATTTGTTTGTTTTCTGATGGTGAATTATAATTTATGTGCCCGTTGCCTGTTCTGCTGTATCACATAGTCTATTTGAATGTTGTATCTCTTTACCCTCCTCCTTCTGGTCACATAACTCCTTGATTACCCAGAAATATTACTTCCCTGATTTACTACATCCATTTTCCTATAGGACATGGGTAGCCAACATGCTGCCTTCCAGATGTTGCCAGAGTACAACTCCTATCATTCCTAACCAATGGCCATGCTGGCTGATGGGAGGTGGACTCCCACAGCATTTGGAGGGCATCACATTTGAACCCCTGCCATAGGATGTCCTAACACCATCCCAGTGGTTGAATGCTGCACAGTCTCACAGTAAGATATCATCATTGCTTTCCTCTTTGCACCTCCTGCACAAATTCTGTTGATCCAAATTTTCCCTACACTGTTTAACCTCCAGTTAGAGTTGAATCACTCTAAAATGCCTTCCTATTAATGTACTCAGTATTAAAATATGCAAAATGAATAGACACTGGGTGTATTGTTCTGTAGTACAATACAATTTTACTACACCAAAATTCCCCAAGAGCAAAATATTATCTGTGATTAGGGCATAACATACTCTAACCATTATAACATCTGTTAGAAACAGGCAATATTCCAGTTATTTCAAGAGCATTTTGACTTTGAACATTGGGCTTCTCCTACAAAGGATGTTACCCTTATTTGTTAATATCATGCAAGTTGGTTTTATAAAAGATACATTGGATACATAGAAACAAACAAACTCATTTTCCTCCTTAAAATTCATAGTGAGAAGAAAATTATGGTAATGGAAACTTTCTTCTTTGAAAAGACACACATGTGGAAGTGAAGATTTCCACCGTCACCAAAACTGACATATTAGTAATTTTCAAAAAGGAGAGGCAGTGTGATGTAGAGGTTAGAGTGGTGGACTAGGCCCTGGGGGACGAGGGTTCAAATCCTCACTGGGTCATTAAGATCACTGGGTGATCTTGGGCCCGTCACTGCCTAACCTACCTTACAGGGATGTTGTACGGATTAAAGGAGGAAGGGGTAAACCATGAACTTTGAACTCCTTGGAGAAAAAGGTGGGATATAAATGTAATCAATCAATCAAATGTATTAAAATATTTCTAACCATTCATGCCCACATGGAAATGCACAATTATACTATTGCCCCCACCAAGTATGTGCTTGTTTGCAATCACATTCTCTGAGCCAAGTCATAATTAGCCCAAAATTGTTCTTTTATAGGCCAAGCTAAAGCAATTATTTGAGTATACTAGAAAATGAATGGTTTACAGTGAGCTCAGAAGAAAATCAAACACAGAGGTCTTAAGCTCTAATTTCCCCCATTACTGCCAATATCCCTTGCTGCCCTGGGCAGTGAGATATAAGTTGAAATAATAAGAATAATGTGTGTGTATATATCATATATATATCATATATATATATAGCTAGGTAGGTAGGTTTATGCATAGTATACACACTTAAGTGGGAATTCATTAAAAGGATTACTTCTGAATAGACATACGTAGGATTGCATTGTAATTCATAGAATCATAAAATTGTAGAGTTGGAAGGGACCACTAGGATCATCTAGTCCAACCCCCTGCAATGCAGGAATCTTTTGCCCAACCTGGGGCTTGAACCCACAACTCTGAAATTAAGAGTCTCATGCTCTGTCACCTGAGCTATCCCAGAGAGCTGTGTTCTCCATAAACCTTCCATCTCTTGCATTATGCTGTGGAACCTTGAAAGCCTGAAAGGCTTAGCTCAAAAGTTAACATACAAAACGGAGTTTTACAAACTGAATTTTGCTCATAAAATTCTTATCAATGGAAGTAATTGAGGAAGACCACTATAACATCCCTGGAGCTTTGAAGGTCTGCATTCCAACTTTTAAAATTAATGAAAGTCATTCCATGAGTAAAGATACTACCTTATTGCAAGGAAATTAATTCAGCAGCGAGGAAGCTGTTTTCTCATCTTCCCTTTAAAGTTACACAAATGTGAGTTCTTAACTAATTAAGCATCTAGTAAGAAAGAGAGGACAGAAGAAAGGTCACCGTGGTAGAAGCTGGCACAGTTTGTTTCCCTCAAGAAAGATTATGGGATTGCTACAGTTGAAACTGTTTGAGATTATACTTGATAATTTGTAATTAACTCTCCAGGGTATTGTGAGACCCAGTTAATAAATACTTGAAACATGCTTGGGGATCATTGGAAGAAAGGTGCTATGGGGATGCAAAAGGTCATTACTTTGCTTACCAGTTGTTTCCTCCCATTACAGAAGAATGCAAGGAAACCTCTGGATTTCTTGACACTTTGCAAACAGAAATCTGCAAAACCCTTGCAGACGTAAATTATCTCTTCCAGAGGGAGTTTGCATGTGTTTACATTGAGTATTACAAGTGTAATTCCTTCTATAGGTAAACAGTAATTGTTTTAATAATATTCACACTAATGTTGGTTAAGCTCTTTGCCGGTAGATAAGAGAGCCACAAAAAAGAGTAAAATTATAAATACCAATGTTGTTACCCATTAACAAGATTTTCAAGTTTCTGCCAAAGGCAAAGAATGCCAATCATACGTTTCCATTTATGAGCATACCGTGCAATTTTTATTCTAAACAGTCTGCGAGGCATTTTAAACAGTCAAATAATAATCGAAAGCTCAGGACTAATTTGCATAGCTGCTGGGCTAATGGAGGGGGCTGGTTTCCAGACTCACAGTGAACTGTCATTTAGTGGCAAGGCACTTACACAGGCTTACCTGGAACCAGAAGCCCAAATTACAACTATGGGAGTTGCAGGAGGACCACTGACCTCCATCTCCTATCACATCTCAGTTGCATGTAACTGAAAAAAAGATGAAAAGATAAATGACAGGACAAGCATATGACTCTTACTGGCATCTGAAGGCAGTCCTGTTTAGGGAAGTTTTTAATATTTGATGAATTATTGTATTTTAATATTTTGCTGGAAGCCGCCCAGAGTAGCTGGGGAAATCCAGCCAGATGGGTGGGGTATAAATAAAAATTATTATTATTATTATTATTATTATTATTATTATTCCCCACCCTGCAGCAGGGGTCAAAACAGTTACATGATGGCATTTTGTGGTTCACCTTTTGTCGGCCCTGTGTGTGTTTAATAAAATAATGTGTTTCTGGGTCAAGAGAATATTTCCTACTATGGCCCTTAGCACTGCAGGTTGTGATCATCTCTAATAGCTCAGAAGAGAGCAGGGTGGCACAATCCAGTGGGAGATTTTTTTTTCTGTGCACATCTCACTGAAATGAATGGGAGCTACCTCCACTCTTGTGCAGCTCTCATTGTTCCAGTGGGGCATGCACAGGATATTGCCCCCATCATCATTATCACTATGTTTAGGACAGAGAGAAGCAAGCTTTTGGATAGATCTCCTACCCAAATAGCTCACTTACTTTTTTATGAGCCCAGTTACACTTTAAAAGAAAGAAAAAAAGTTGCTCCTAATTATGCTGTTTAAAATTAGAAGTATCACACCAGCTGGGAAACATAAAAGAGAGCATTTACAACATTATTTAAAACACAGCAGCAAAAGAATAGAAGCCACATTGCCTATAAACCATCAGAGGAAAGAAAACAATTCTCAGACACTAACTACACAGGAAGCTACTTGTCCCTTGGCTGTATCAGCCTTTCATAATAAAAGCCTGAGCTGATATCCTTCCCTATGTGGGCCATGGCAGACAAAGCCCAGTGGCTTAACCTACTCTCCAATTCCAGGTGATGGTGGTGGACTTGTACATGCCTCCTATAGTCCATTCATTTCTTCCCCTCTCCCTTGAGTGCAAAAACTTGGGTAATTTCATGGAGCACAAGAAGCATGGTGGATGGTGGATTGATGGACAACCCCCTAAGTTTATATTGAGATGGGACAGTGAAAACAGTATAGACTTCACTGGAGCACCTCCTAAATATCTCAACAGCATCTCAGAAATTGTTCTTCAGGGCAGCTATGTCCATATGTGGAATGTCAGGCACCTCAGAAACTAAACATTCCAGGGTCTTTGCACCCAGTTCTCCTAGGCACCTGACATCCATATTATGGCACAGACACCCCAGAGAACTATGCCTTTTAGGCTGTTTGGGGCTTTGAATGCTGCTGTGGCAGCAATCTAGGTACCAGGAAAGGAAGACATCATTAAGACTTTCTGCAGATGTTTCTGTGCTACCTTGCAGCAATGAGGAAGAATAAATGAGGAGTTGGGGTACTTACGGGAGCAGGAACTGATGGGACCTAGCAAATGTTTTATGAACCCAGCCTCAAAACTTCATTTGAAATGGGAATTTCTCAAAACAGCTGGGACGGAGGGAGAGAGATTTGTAAGACCGCCATTGTGCGAACCAAAATCCCCCCTCAACTTTTCCACTCTGTTTCTGGATTCCAAAATGCCAGCTACTTATTGTTCTTAGATTCTCAAGCGTGCAATGTTATAGAGTCTTACTCAGGCTTTATAGGACAAAATATGGCACACCAAGCTCCCTTAATGTATTAATATCCCCCTGTGCTCAAGGCAGACTGACTAGAAATATGAGCAGCTCATTTATTTGAGGACTATGGGATTATATTGGTTTGCAAAGCAAGGAGCTATTAATTTCTGGCCATACTCACGCATTCTATTGTGGTGAATAAGATGCCTCCACAGGGTTGACCAGATTTAGTTCAAGACCTATATATCAAGCAGCAGAAAGACAGCTCCAATAAAAGATGTTTTAAAAGGTGAACACTGTTCTCCTTAATCAATAGACTAAATCAAGGTTCATTATGCTCCATCCATTTGTTGCACTGCTTTAAACACAGAATTAATTAAGATTCCTGAAAGCGTTGCCTAGGCTTGCTACAGAGGTAGCAACGGTGCTTTGCTTCAGTTCTGCCTTTCCTGTGGAGTCCAAGTACTGCAGAGAAAACTTTATTTGAGCGTCTGAAGATGATATAATTGCTATACATGCTAGGGGTGTGATCCTTTCCTACATGGCTAGAGCAATCTCCACAGAGTTCAATGGAGCTGTATTTCCACATCTTCCCAAGCATGGATAAATGCGAGGCAGAGTACCAAAGCAGGCTGAGGAAAGGGAGAGGCATTATATGTAGACAGAATCATAATTTGGCCACATAAAAAAGGAATTGTATCAAAGAAGAACAGATTTGAAACGAGTTAACTATTACTGCAAGAGGAGCTATTCAGCGAAGCAATGTTTTCTAATATCTGCGTAACAGTTCAACTCTTTCCTTTAAGGACACTGGTGCTACTATATAAACCAATGTCTCACACCATCTCTTTTGCTTGTTGAAAATCTTTAGGGCTATCCATGTACAAAAGTGTATGAGGACCAGTTTATACATTTATTAGATGGTTAAGTGGAATTAATTGGTACACAACACAATCAAAATACAGGTCAAGCAAAAGTGTGAACGAGCCCAAATTTGTTGTTCTTGTAAGGTATGTTTCTAGCAAACTGCTAGAAACTGCAGTACTAACATTGACGTCATTTGTGACAGACAAATGGCCTGAGAAAAAATGGCTCATTGAAAGGAAAGACTCCTTTTGGTTTCAGTAAAGGTCACTTCACACAGCTGATAGGCTTTCTATTTCTCCATGTTTCCTGACATGCCCAGTACATGTTTGCATACACATTTTTCTAGTATTATGAATGTTTCCTTTTCAAATATTATGGTGTTCACCACAAAGACATGCAATGAATGCAATGGAAAAATAAGGGTGAGGCAGCCAACAGATACATGATCAGTTCAAATGACCACCAGGTGTGCAGTTGTCCCATGCGGTGAGTTGCAGTACTACAGACTGGAGCATCTCCCTGGGCAGTGGAGTATTCTCAGGCTCCTGGGCATAGCCAGGATTTGTGGGAAGGGCAGGACTTTTGTTGGGTGGGACAGAACCAACATGATTGGTCAGTTAAGTACTTGATGGGGGGGCAGCTTCCCTCTCCCGCCTCCCCCCTTGGCTACGCCCATGTTCAGGCTCCAGGTAGGCTTTGCCCATGGAATATGCCACTGGATTCTTGCAGAAAAAAGGTTCCTGTTTGGATGGACACTTTTGACTGAGCATCAATCATTTTTCTGGTTCTAGTGTGCTCTGCTTCCCTAGCACAGTTCCCAGCTCCTGGATCCCCCATAACAGTTTCCCTATGAATCAAACCTGGCAGTGTGTTTGCCACTGGATTTCTGCTTAAAATTGATGGTTCCCTTGGCTTTCTGTCCAAGCTTGAGCTGATTGCACGCTGATATTTCCATATGCTCAGCCTTTTCACAAGCCGCTGCTAACCACCCAAAGTGTGGGCTAGGAGTGGGTATCTGAACAGCAAGTTCCTGTGTGTGGTGACACCAACAGATAATTGCCCCAAGAGGAGAGGTGATTCATGCAGGCATTTCAGTTGCCAGCCACTGGGTTGTGTGAATCAGCTGACACTTGTAGCCTCAGAAACCTGGCCTTTTAACATGCTTTTCATTGCGGCTGTAGAGCTTGAGCCCATTTATGTTCACTGAGGATATTTTCAGATGGTTTTCTCCTTAAGAGCTCCTTCAATAGCTTTCCCCTTAACAATGGCTTCCCCCCCCCAAAAAAAAAGTTTTCAGAAGGTGTTGTGTGATTGTGGTGAAAAGTCCCCCCAGCTGAGCTTTTATACCCACATTAAAGAC